CAGCTCAACTGTAAATTGAGGAGATTTGGATGCCAGTCTAGTGTTGCGCTTAAATTGACACTGTCTAGGCACCATAGTGATGAGCTCATCCAAACAATTACCATGAAAGTATTTATAAAAAAGGCACAGAGAAGCAACCTTATGGCAGTGGGCAATTGACTGAAGCCAAGTCAACAGATCAGGACCAATAATATTGCTGATTCTTTTTTGGATCTTATGAAGGAGCTCCAGTCAATAGCAGGGGCACCGGACCATATATGGTAGCAATATTCTAAGCATGGATTTATGGTAGACATAGATATGAAAGAGATTCCATTGAGACTCAGATCCCACCCTTGCAAAAAAAAAAAAAAAAAAAAAAAAATTTAAATACATAAAAAAAAGGCAATAAATAATAATAAAATAAAAACTGCCTTGATGTTAGACAAGGTGCGGCTCCTGAGGTTACATGACTGCAGGTGTTAGCATGCATATTTTTTTGTTTTGGCGAATTAGGATGGGTTACAGTAATGATTATCAACTTCCGTCATTTGGCATACTAAGAGGATAAGCCCGAAATTTGATTTGCAGGTCGGGGACACTAGGATCAAGCAGACACAGAAGTTTAAATATCTGGGAAGCATTTTGACAGAGGATGGTAAGTGCAGCACTGAGATTCATAGATGTATTGGGATGGCCAAGAATGCATTCCAAAAGCTGGGCAGAGTATTGCAAGACTGGAAGATTTCTTTGGTAATGAACAAAAAGAATACTGAGTTGTTATATGACATCTGTTCTTCTTTATGGCAGGGAATGCTGGATGATTTCCTCAAGGATGAAGAAGAGATTTGAGGCAACGGAGATGTGGTTCTACAGAAGGATGCTGAGGATATCATGGACAGAGTGTGTGAGCAATGATGAGGTCTTGGAGAGGATGCAAGCAAGCAGGAGGCTTATGCTTAACATCAGGAAGAGACAGCTGAAGTTTCTGGGACACATAATGAGGAAGGAGGGCCTGGAGAAACTGATACTCACAGGTCAAATAGAAGGAAAGAGAGACAAGGGAAAGCAGCATGTGACATTCCTGGTGATCTTTAGCAGATGGATGACAGAATGTGGTCTGGGGGTGGTAGCAGAGGGAAGGAACTTGTTGAAAGGTTCAAGTGAAAGAGGAAGAGGTGGAGAGCCATAATTGCCTATGTTCTGAAAGAACATGGCACATAAAAGAAAGAAAGCATGCCACAAAATATTGTCATGGCATATATATATATATATATATATATATATATATATATAAAATCGACTCTCCTGTCGAGATTCGACGTATGAGGGTTAAGCAAATCAGTTTCCAGGAAACCGACAGCTCGACACCGGCACAAGAGATTTGATTATAGTGGTGAAGGCCTTGTGCAGGACCATCCACACTTTTTGAAGGGACGAATACAGAGATCTGGTGCACCGAATGCCACAAGGTTCCCAAACGACCCTCCACAGGTTTTGAATTCAGAGTTGTCCTTCTCCTAGACCAGTTGCCATCCAAGGCTATTAGAACCCAGTCTGTCCTGCTATTTTACCCATATATATATATATATATATATGTATGTATGTGTGTGTGTGTGTGTGCATGTGTGTTTTCTGCTTATATATTATTTTAACAATTTCATTTTTTTTTAAATAAATGCCGTTTTTTAATTAAACATTATTAATTACATTTACTGGCCTGAATGTCCAAGAAATTTCATAGAAAATATACGTTCTCCAATAGGAATCGAACCTGTGTCCTATATGGAAGTTGTATCCATGAAAATATCTATTAAATTAATAGTATTTGGATAAATGAATAAGTTTTAAACTTTTTTTTAAATAATTCATTTCACTATTTTCTGATTATAATATTTTAACTACCTTGTTTTAATATTAAGAAAAAAATGACACTCTACTTATTTCAGATTCAACCAAACATTGAAGAAATTGTGAAAAAAAAAAAACACCGGGCACAGGTTTCACACTAAATAAGCTGCATAAATAGTTGAATAGAAATCATAAAATAAAGTTTTTGTCTGTATTTCTTTTTTTAAATTTATGGTTTTATTTCATAACATTTAAATATATACCCTTTAAAAATTTGGGTAAGTATGCTGTGATATCTTCATTTGCTCCTAGGTGTGACGTTGCTTAAAAAGGTTGAGAAACACTGGGCAACAGTAAAGATCCCATAGCATAACCCAGATTTGTTTGTCAGTTGCCTAACATTAATCAGCTAAACAGAGGCTAGCTGTGCATCTATGTTCAATAAATGGGGATAGTGGAGAGGCATCATGGCCTGGTGTCAATAAGGCTATTATTATTTTTTTTTATTTGAAGGTGCTATGGTGATTTGGAAGTCACATCGAGATGCTTGGGAACACCCTCGGTTGCTCAGGCATAGTGTATTTCTATTTGGTTCCTTCCTGCAAAGTTATATACTACTTTTATTAAAACTTGCCACCATATTGCACACATTTGGCTGTAGTGGATGTGCCTGGTATACCCTTATCAGACTCGATAATAGAATTAAAATTAACCTATGTTAACTTATTGTTGTGTAGTAAATAAGACAGCCCTGGTAACACAAATGTGTGCCTTCTTTGCCTCACGTTTTCCACTCACATGAAATGAAGTGACTATATTGAATCAATTGCTATGCCTACCATTTGTCCAGACATTCAGCAAAGCTCAAAATAGCCAAAAAAAAAAAAAAAAATAATTTGAATCAATTGCTGCCGACTGCAAAGAAAGTTTGCTCATTGTGTCATGCCAGAAAATTATTCTTGTCAGAATTCATCTAGTGCATTAATATGGTGTGTGTATATATATATATATATATATATATGAAGAAATATAGTCTTAAGGTGTGCTATATTTATGGGATAAAGTGCTCAATATCAGAGAGAGCATGTGTAAATATAAAAGGGAACATTGAAGTCAACACTTAGAGCGACAGTCTGTTTCATGTTAGATGCAATTGTCAGGAATCTAGCATGAAACAGACTGTCACCTCTAAGTTTTGGCTTTATGCTCACTTTTATATATATATATATATATATATATATATATATATATATATATATATATAGTGTAACCCGGATATAAGAGAGATTTTCTCTGGTCTCAAATTAGAGCCTGTGTTAATGTATATAAAATAGACCAAACCCGGATATAAGAGAAACCCGGATATAAGAAACTTCTTCTCCGGTCCCGACAACTCTCTTATATCCAGGTTACACTATATATATATATTATAAATTAATTGATTTAAAATATTATAAATATTAATGCTCTGTAAATTTACATTGAGCACTATTTTGTAAAAATAAAAATATCTATAAGAACACCGGATTTTATATCTTACTGTTCTTTCTTTTTTATATATATATATATATATATATATATATATATATATATATATATATATATATACACACACACATATATATATATATATATATATAAATAAATATATACATATATAAATAAATATATACATAAATAAATAAATTCTCATTTGTCTATACATTGAATACTTTTGCCTATCCAGGCAAGATCAAAAATAGCAAAAATACAAAACAATTTCTGCCAGAAAAGGCTTTCCAGTTTAGCAAAAAGAGGCTCAACGACATAAGGAAGAGCAGCACAGAAGAGCAACTTACAGCTTAAAACAAAAAAAGTGCTTTACAACAGTGCTTCTCAAACTATTTGATAATTATGGATTACTTATACAAATCTTATTAACTGATCCTTAGCTGGCAGTTGATTCATATCTTTCCCCATAAGTGAATATAATGAACCTAACACAAATTGGAACTTGGCTGTCCGATTAACAACTCCGAGCCATTATCTATTACACAAATGCTTCTCAAACTATCTGATATGGCGGACTGGCATTTGTTTTTCTCAATGTGTCATGTACCTGTAATATTTTGTGGTGATATTAATTCATACCGGAAACGAGATATATATATGTAATCAATATAATAAAAATTGACTATTTTTTATCTTCCATTTATTTCGCAAAAAATAGTTCAATATCAAAACATATAAAAAATAATTAAAAAAGCAATTTCTTAATACAAAATAAAAATTATATAACCTTCATCTTTACAAATGATTCCTTAGTATGACCTGGACACTTGTTGTGTACCAGCAGCTGATTGTTCATATACCAGCACCAGTCCACAGACCACCAATTTGAGAAGCACTGCTCTACAATACCGGACCATGGGTAACTTTTTTTTCTTTTAAATGTGTTTTGGGAATATAATCTATGCTAGATTCATTAAAACTGTTTCTTCTTGTTTCCATCAACTTTGTTATTGAATATCTCATTAACGTAAAAGACTTTAGTACAATAAAGTCCTAAACATTTCACACAAAAACTTTTCCCACTTTGTCATATATATGTTGATAGCAAGCTTCATCAAGATGTTTTTTTTATTATTTCACTTACAAGCAATAAAGCCACTAAGACACAAGGGATTACTGAGTATAAGAGAATATGAGAAAGAAAAAAAAACACATTAAAGACAGAGATTAATAAAAGAACAGGAATTAAGACAAGATAACCATTGACTTTGCATTTAAATTTTTGAAGATCAAAGTTGACTGGAAAAGAAATTTAGTATCTACTGACACCAAGGTTAAAGTGTGACACTCTGGACTTATGAATATACTTTCCACCAGGTGTATAAATAGCGGTGTCAGGCTACTGACTGCAGTGACTGTTGAGTGGAACTATCCAGTCGAATTAGTGTGAATTATTGTGTGTCAATGATTTGGGTTTTGATTTAGGATTTACCGGACGTTAAGCTGAGCCACGCTACTAACAAGATATTGACTGAAATTGTTAATTATCTTTGTTTGACTTTTACTTCTTTGTTCTCGTTAAGTATTTATTTGCGGTTGTAATTAAATACAGTTTTATCTTAACATTAAAGTCTTGAGTTATATTTAATTATCAATGGCCACTGTACATCACAAAACATTGAAACATCAATTCTTGTATGATCACTGAAGTTAAGCAACATCAAGCTTGGTCAGTACTTAGATGGGTGATCACTTGGGAATACCAGGTACTGCAAGCTGGGATGTAAAGGTGATGAAATAGAAAACAGCTTGAAATCAGAAAGCAAGAAGCCAGAAGAGAGTTCAACAAGTAAGAAGTGCATAGAACTTATGATTCCATCTAGCCATTTCAACTGCTGCCAATATAGTAGTACTCTTAAATTCGTAAAGTCTAGGCACCAAAGAGGAAAGCTCATCAGAACAATTACCTTGAGTGTATTAAAGAATGCAAGAAAAAGAAAAACATTATTTTGGTAGAGAGGAAAAAAAACCCAAAAAAAAACCAAAAAAAAAACCAAACAACAATAAAAGAACAGGAATTAATCCAGACAATAATGATTTACATTGCATTTACATTTTTGAAGATCAAAATTTGCTGGAGAGCAAGAAGCCGGAGAAGAGTTCCACAAGCGAGAAGTTCAAGAAAAGCAGCTATTAGCATAGAACTCACGATTACATCAAGCTATTTCAACTGTAAAATGATGAGACCCTGCCGCCAATCTAGTACTGCTTTTAAATTCATAATGTCCAGGTACCATAGAGGAAAGTTCATCAGAACAATTACCATGGAAGTATTTATAGAAAAGGCACAAGGAAGCTACATTACGGCGGTGGCAAAGTGACTGAAGCTGAGATGCTAGGTCAGGGCCAATAACATTGCAGATTCTTCTTTGGATTTTATCAAGAATCTCTAAATATATAGCAGAAGCACCAGACCAAATGTAGCAGCAGTATTCAAACGATGGATGAATGGTAGACTTATAAATGTGTAAAATAGATTCTGGAGAGATAAAATTGTCTAGCACAACAGTGAACCAACTTTCCTAGCAGTGGATCTAGCAGTTGATTCAATATAATCTTTAGGAATGAAATACAATGATATATCAATCAGCTGTGTACCAGAAAATATCTGACTCCACCTGCCATGCTTTCGCTTTATAAGATTCAGAACAGACCAAAAGTGAAGTATTGCTAGCATATCTGGGCTCGAGCTTCTTAATCCTCATTTTATAGCCTTGACAGATTTCAAAAGCGTTTATGCGGACCTGGGAGTGATGAATTACTTTCCATCATACAACCCTTTCCGACGGAGGAAACATTGCCAACATCTTGCTCCTCTATCGTTATTTTCGTAGTATATGTTCAGACAAGTTAATTCCTTACTTCAACTGGTTCAGATCTTACAGCTAAGACCCACCATGCTTTGCTCACATTCGACTCATCCCCGTTTCCCTTGTATTCCATTCGTAAGGAAGAAGTTTCATTTGTACTGCTTCTTCTCCAGGACTGTTAAGTTGTGGAACGGATTCCCAATCTCTACAATTCTAGGCTTACGGCCATATCACCTTGAAACATTGGTTCCCGTATGATCACCGGAGTTAAGCAGCGTTGAATCTAGTCACTGCCTAGATGGGTGACCGCTTGGGAATACCAGGTGCAGTAAAGAATGGATAACATCTCGGAAATGAAAAGCCGAGATCCAATTCCAGTTGGGTTCGTTATATTCACTTTCCTTAGGAAAGTTATGCATCTACCTTTTCTCCCCCAGATATGGGTTAATTAGTAGGACTTATGTCAGTAAAATTATTATTATCTAAAAAATAATTCTTACATTCTAAAAATGTTTTCTGGCTTTACATTGATAAATCCAAATTACTTTCCACTATAAAATCCTTTCTGATTGAGGAAACACTGCCAAAATCTCGCTACTCTATTGTTATTTTCATAGTAGATGTTCAGACGAGTTAAATTCCTTATTTCCACCAGTTCAGACCTTCACAGCTAAGACCCACCATGTTACACTCATCCCTGTTTACCTTGTATTCTATTCATAAAGAAGAAGTTTCATTTGTACTGCTTCTTCTCATGGACTGTTACGTTGCGGAATGGATTCCAAATCGCTACAATTCTAAGCTTACGATCACATCACGTTGAAACATTGGTTTCCATATGATCCCCGGAGTTAAGCAACATTGAATCTGGACACTGCTTAGACAGGTGACCAGAAAAGAGTTGCACAAGTGAGAAGTGAGAGAAAAGTAGCTGTTAGCATAGAACTCACAATAACATATAGCCATTTCAACTCTAAAATGATGAAACCTTCGTAAAGTCTAGGTACCAAAAAGGAAAGGTCATCAAAACAGTTACCATGAAAATATTTCTAGAAAAAGGTACAAGGAAACTATGTGATGACAGTGGAAAATTAACTGAAGTTGAGATGCCAGGTTCACGTCAATAAAATTGCAAATTCTTTTTTCTCAATAATCTCTAAATACATAGCAGAATCAGCAGACCAGATGTGGCTGCAATATTCAAAGCACGTATGAATGACAGATTTAAAACAATAGGAGTAGACAGGTTTGCCTATTGCCTGGTTCACATTCCTTCCCAGTCTTTTGGACGTGAGCAGAGGTTTATTTCTTGTTTACGGTTTAAGGTTTTGTGTTCTGGTTGGAAACAATAACACTGGTACCTTCTCTCTTGTAAGGATTGACGCTTGGAATCTATTTCAAATCTGCTACTCACAGCTTCCAACTCTGCAATCTGCCACGCTAGACACCTACCCATTTATCTACCTCAGAGCCCACACAGCTTTTTGTACATCCGGGCACCTGAATCAAATCACGTATCCCACATAGAACTTACTGTGCTTTCTGCATTGTGAAGGACACAAGTTTGATCCAGGCAGGCAAGACACAACTGGGTTCTCTTTCTCTGCTGAACCGGTAAATTATTATTCTTGGTACAGGTTCCTTCTAAGTTCTTCTGGTTCTCTTTCACTCCTAGTAGCCCCTTACGTCTTAGTGGCATTACTGCCTTGCTTGGGGTGAAATAATAAATAAAAATAAACATGTAAGAGATTCCACAAAAAAAAAAAAAAAAAAAAAAAAATTGTCTCACAAGATATGGTGAACTAACTTTCCTAGCAGTACAATTACTGAAATTGTATCTATACACTCACGACAGGCAATTAAGTAAGGATGTAAAATATATATATGTCTACTAGGGCGGCTAGCCAATCCTTATTACAGACACTTGCTAAGGCACATTTGTGTTTGTTCAACACCCACAGAGAGCCCACCTGTGGTTTATACTGAAACTATGCTGAGCAGACGTTAGTTACAGTTTCTGGGAAAGAGCATGTTATCTACCGTAATCAACAATTTGAACAAGGCCAGCACACTCAAACCCTCAGCCATAATGACTTGTGACTTTGTGCTAGCACAGCTATCAACAGCCCCCAAGGATTCTGTCTACCTAATTTCATTCACAAGGCTTGGTTCAACCCTGTGGTATGGCTTTAAGATACTTTCCAAAGGTGCCACATGCTGGGATCAACCCCCTCCTCTGATAACATCAGGAAGTTTCTTTCCTGACAAATCGATCATAGTGAGATTTGAACCTAGGTTTCAAGGTCAGAATGCAAACGTTCTAACCATTCTGCCACATGCCCAGGATCTAAAGTATAGCAACAGCAATGGAAGTTTTAAGTAAGTCAAAGAGAAAATCTGGTAAGTGATGGCACCTTTCGAATGATCAATAGTGACATCAACAAAACCAATCTGCTTGGTCCTTATAGCAAATTTTCCGTAATCAACTGTGAATTTTTTTATTTACTTTTCCAATGATAGGATATCAATGATTTGGGAGTAAAACAGAGGCAACAATTTCAGTTCTTGGTTTGGTTTGGTTTGGGGCATATCAACCTCAAATTAATGCTAACAAAATTTAGCTGTATATATATATATTAGTAGAATCCCTCATATCCAGACATGATTCTGATGTGTATATTTGAACTATTTGGGTGCTATGTAACTAATTTGAAATTTCTGTTTTTCAGGAAATTTACTTTGGATAATTGCTTATGCTTATTTCACCCAATGGCTTGTATTGGTGCAAAGGACGATGGGAAGAAGAGGAAAGGATGACAATGAGACACATCCACAACAAGATGGCGACAAGATACATGACTGTGATGAAACCTGGACTGAAATTGAAAAAGCTATTGAAAAGGTTGTCAGTTTTATGGAAAGAAAGCCTGCATTCAGGTATGACGATTGCAATAATGCACAGAGTTTAAAAATTTCAAGAAGAAAAGCAAAAGGAAAAGTTGAGAATGACATTAAAAGAGAAAGAATCATCATACAAAAGCAATTAAAAAATCCTTGTTATATTATTTGTTTTGCATACCTGGCATACTTAATTTAATGAATTTTCATTAACATTACATAATTTATTTCTTTTTCCTTAAAATCAGTTCCGTTATATTTCTAAATATATCCCCTCATATCTAGACTATGTAACCAGTTCCTTCTTTGGTTGTCAGGGATTCTACTATATATATTTTTTTCCTTCAAAAATAATTTATTGATAGTATTAAAACCTATTTTTACACTTTCATAGTGTTTTGACCCCAGTCTGGGGGGTTAACCACCCCCATAGCTGGGACACTAACAGGTGCTACCACCTCAGTTCAGGGTGAACTTGGGAACACCAGCAATTAAGTAGAGGTTCCATGTTCCACAAAACCTCCCGAACAGAGGCCTTGTTGTCAAACGTAGTTTATCGTCTTAGGACACAGATGTAGTTTATCATCATACCCAGGACGGAATTTCAGTTCTGTTAAAGGTCCTTGAATTTGATCTTGGCAAGAGCCTAGTCTGCCAAAATTCTCTTGTGTTCTTTAAGACTGGCAAGAATTAGCAGTTGCATATGTTAAATTTGGGTTCATGGCCAAATGCCAAACATATCAAGACCTCAGCCTCTGAATACATGTACAAGAATTCCTGTAACTCTTTAAACAGTATTCGAAGATAAAGATTTGTGGTTCAGGCAATAGACCATATATATATATATATATATATATATATATATAAATATATAATATAAAACATTGGTTTTAACATTAACAGAGACAAGGATGTTTTGCCGAAGAGGAACGGTTAATGAGTCAGTTTTGCAAGATATTGTTGCATTAGGCATGCAGGTGTCGGTAGTACTTCAGGGAATTAAGTGCCG